GGTGGTGGTGGCGGGTGTTTGTACGGTGGCAGTGGACCTGGCCGGCCAACACACCAGTTGTCCAGCATGCTAGTCCCACTGGCGTTTTGGTGCTGTATGCTAGAGGTAGTGTTTTTGGAACCGAATCCGCTAGAACTGGAACGACTTTCGGGCGACCGTTCGCTGATGGTGTTATTGACTGCGGCGGTGCCGTCAGACGTGAGTTCCGGGGCGCTCCGAGCATACCGCATGTGCCTGGACCGGTACCTGCCCGGGTTCGGATGGTACCTTGGACTGGCTGGCTGCAGCCGGCGCATCAGCGTCCGGTGGTTCTCCTCGTGTATCGCTCTTAGCGACGGCAGCTGTTGGCTRTACCGCTCGTGTACGCTCCGCAGCGTCGTACGGTCGTCGGCGGCACTGTGACCCGCGGGCGCGGCTGAACTGTCGAAACCATACGTCGTCTGCGGGTCGCACACAGTAGCCACGTCCACGATTGGCCGGCGGCGATCGTCGATGACTGTTTCCTCTGTCCACCTTGGCCCACCGCCACTACTGCTACCACTAACTGTCAGTAGCGGTTGTCGGCTCCACGTCCTGTTGGAGAAACTTGGATGGGACAGGAACCCTCCGTCGTCACTGCTACACGACGACGAACACACACTGCCCCGTCGGCTGGACGGCCCAGAGTCGCCGGTCAGCACGAATCGGCCGTCGGCGGACCGGGAGATGCGGCCGAGACGTCGGCGCGGACGTTGGCCTCTCGGCAGACCGTCCACGCAGTCTTGGCCATCGCGGTCTAGGAACGAACTCGAACGGGACGGCCGCGCCACCATGTTTAGAACGACGTTGCATCCGCTGCTCAGACTTGATATTCGGGTTGATCTAGATCTAGAAATACAAACGATGGCTTTTAGTGTTTCTCCTTTTAAGTATATCGTTTATTAWATGGTGTAGTACTGTACTAACAATAATGGCATATATTTTAGTCGTGAAGTACGAAGCCGATAAACATGATAGTCATAATATGTACACTCAAAATGCATTTCAAAGTATGCAACGTTTTACAATGTTATAATACAACCTACGCGTGTTGATAATTATTAATATTATGCAAGAAAAAAAAAACATGCTTATTCTACGGTGTTGACATATTACAAACGGATAAAAGGTGCAAACACAAAGATTGATTTTAAATTTCAAAACGTCAATCTATTTTACTATTGTTCCTAATCTATTGGTTTAGAAAAAAAAAAATTAAAAGAACCGCTTTACCTATGTCTTGTTAAAAACACATGACGAGTGTTGAAAATCGACAACTACAACGATATATTTTATTATTACCTAATCAAATTCAAGGTTCTATTTCATAATATATATTTGAGTTATGTTTGTGAATTTAGTTGTGCACAATTAAGCATGCCCATCAAACTTGTTAGTATTTCGTAATTTTATATTGTTGGGAGAAAATTTATTTTATTGAACTTTCGTTGAAAAAACTTAAGTATTTATCTATAAAATGGAAAAATCTAAAAATTCATGTCAAAGCCAAACTTCTAAAAATATTGTACAAAAGTACTTATACCCAACAATGTGTATTAATTATAGATTTGTGTACAATAAATCAAATTAGGAGTCAAATTTTGTTGGAACAAATTTCAA